GTACATGTAGACTATTTAATACAAATCCAGTGATTCACAGTCAGCACTCTAATATACCTAGATCGTCAGTCTGACACTAGAGCTACATTAGTTCAATAGCTTACTGTTGCATAATAAAACATTTCAAGTATTTTCCTTTAAAGCCGGATTCATCCAGTTATCATAAAATATTTGTCCAGTTAAAAAAATAGTTCTTATCATCAACTTCATTATAAACGTTATTTCATTAAAAGTTATTCACTAAATGTTCATTATATTTTTGGTCATCAAAATCATTTTAAACAACATTCGCCAAGTACTTCACTGCAATTGCCTTAATCAGTCAAAATGTACATTTCAGCAATTCCCGCTCACAAAATCTATTTGGGCAATAATGAAAGTGAAAAATGTCCCAGTGTGATGAATACTAATGGACAATATAGCTAGAATTGATCTATACATTAAGGGTATTTTCTATTTCAGTCATTACAGTATAGGATGTAACTTTAAGGTGATTTAATTTTTACTTTTTATTCTAACGACAACAGACTAGTGTTATATGTGCTCATCATATAAAAAAACATTGAACAAAGAGTTGTTTGGTTGAATAAAAAGATAAAAAAATACTTATTTTAAACCCGGGTTACTAATTTAAGAAATTATTACATTGTAAATTGTATTATTGAAACGTTGATCAAGTATTTTTGAAAAATTATGACTAACTAGTGTTAAATTTCAAAATTTGTCATTGATTCACTCCTTTACTAAAAAAATAATTACAGTTTTATTATTATTATTATTAACAAATAGTTAAGTCATGTGCATTTGACTCATTGCATCATATGCAACAAGTTAGAATGAATTAGTTGTATACTTTTTTTAAAAAATTAACATTTCAAAAAGTTATTCATTATAGTTTTCAAGGTAGATATTGTGTCATTTTACGCCTGAATGATAATAATAATAATAATAATAATAATAATAATAATAATGATAAAACAAGAATTACTGATTGATTTGTTTGTTTAAACAGTTGAAAACACATATCTCTCTTAGTCAGTAAAATAATATTTGGCATAATTAAATCATACTTAAAATAACATTGCCAATCTAAAAATATGCATTATTCATGAATGATTAAATTTCTTAAGTGGTAATTATTTTTGTTTTTTGCAGTAAAGATTTGTAGATAAGTCTACAGACTAAATGAAAAAATTGCACTCAGTATAATAAAAATGATATATCACAATGCAAACTTATTCAGCATTTCATTGAAACCATGAATAGATCTACGTTAGACTAGGACTAGTCAGCAGCGCGCATCCAATTCAGGACTTCCGGTTGTTTGTAGCTTAAACACAAAAATACTGATTGAGAAATCAGTAGCTAAAAACAAATACATATCATTTCAAGAATTTCAATCTGAGAAATTTAGTCAAGACGTAGTTTTTTCATTTCATTAAAAATAATCCAAAGTCCAGGAAGTTTGTTTTGATCAAATGGTCAGTGTTCACAAGTTTTTCTACCAATTATATGTTTATATACACTAGCCTATCACCTATTTTCGATTTGTGTACATTCTAAATGAATTCGGGAATTCTCCAGTCTATGGTTGCTTAAACATAACGGTTGATATATAAGGTAGCTAGAAACCAATAATTTCCGTACACAGGACATTTGACCATTGTTATTCTCATGAAAAAATGTATCACATCTGATGCCTGAATTTGATTATCTCTCCTTTTTCAAGCGAAAAGTGATAGTGGGAACTTGACATCAGCTTTTATCGCTTGACATCGATTTTGAGACAATGAATCTTCTAATAGGCAGTAATGTTCTTGTAAAAGAATGATAAATATACAAAACTAACTGGTTTAAAGGGATGTAAACTAGGGAACTTTGATTAAAACATTTTTATAACTAGAAAATAAGCTATCCAAATATTTTGATAGGTTTTTAAATGCTGAAAGTCCCATTAGACTTGTACACAGGAAATTTATTCAACTCCTTATTTCATTATAATTATAACATTTGAGCTTAGAGGTTGCCCAGTTCTTTCGATCAATCCCTTACTCTAAAATAACTCATTCAATTTTCCATGCTATTTTTGGTAGCATTCGGCTCTTATTTCTACAATCTCATGTTAAATAAGTTTGTCTGATAACTACAATTATTCATCTGGTCTCTAAACTAGCCCTACATTAATGTTTGTAGTCCTATGACAGGTTGCTAGCACTGATCTGTACATAATACTTACTAAGTCTTTGTTTACTTTGCTACTTTGTTACTCAAGTAGGGAAATTAATTTTCTTACTAAATATGAATTGTCGTTTATTTGTAAATATACTTGCTGATAGACAACCTTAAAATATATATCTCTAGATAAGATAGTTTGCCAGTCAATTATTGTTATCTTGTTTGAAATCCCGTTTTGGAAAAAGACTCAACTAGAGGACAAAGTATAGATAGATCACATTTCTTCAACAAAAAGCATTCGTTTGCGTGAAAGTTCCGACTAAACTTGTATTTAAATATATAGGAATAATTATTGGCAGGTCATGATGTTTCTTAGAATAAAATTACCCGTTTTTAGTGAAGGGTTAAGAGGAATTGGTTATTAGTCTTCTAATTTATTTGACACAGAGAGTTTATTCCACTCACTTATAAGATAAACTAGAAAGCAATTTATTGACTAACTCAAGAAACCATAGATAGAAATCTTTCATAGCAGTACTGAAAACGGAGGCAAATCATAAATTTTGTATGAATGTCAAATATAGTTCTACTAAAAGCATGCAAAAAACAAACAAGAGCTCCGTCGATCAATTCTGCATTCGGAAAATTAAATGAAAACAGTAACACTTAGGCCCTTAGTTCGTGCCTTCATTTAGTTGCTTTTTATTCAATGAGGGATTGTTTTAAAAATCACCTGTTTAGATTGTTTGAAAATGTTATGATTAATTTCGGTGCGCTAGGTTATATCTGATTTTGAATTAAGAATTATAGACAAATTTGGATAGGAGTAAATTAACAGTGTTGATTTCCTGTTACATGCTACAAAACGTAATTGCGAAAACACTGATATCTGGAAGACTGTTTTATTGTGGATTCAAAAATCTTTCTTTTTGTTTTAAGTTTTCTAAGTAACTGAAATCTAATTATTACTAGAAAGCTAATTTTCCTGTAAGTAAGCACTAGTTAGTGGTTAAGTCCAAAGATCAATACTTATCTTCTTCTTCTAAATACAATATTACACAATATGACAATTTAATGTATGTCATTACAGAAAAACTTTAGGTTTTCATCACTTAAGAACGCATAAATGTGGGCGATAACTTGACTTCATTCACGAAATAAAGGAATGAAGTCGAAGTAAAACAATTTGTTGTAGAATGACTAAATATTTAAAAGTTGAAAGTTTCAATTACATTTTCAGAGTCGGTTTTTAGTATGTTTTGCAAAAAATTAAAAAAAATTACTCAGTTATAGAGAGGTTCAATCTTTTTTAGAATCAAGACTTTGTCTTGCATGTAAATGGTATATATAAAAACTTTCCAAGCTTCTATATATAAAATCATAAACAACAAATTAAAGTGAATGAGTCCATCTTTTTGATATTCATGATAACCATAAACTTAACTATGGAAACATTTACTGTCCAAAATGTAGTAGATACTGTTTACATTCACAGGATTTTGTTTGAAAATTATCTGTATTTTCAGAACACAGAGAGAAATAGGTACATTTTCATGTTGAAACGTCAAATAAACGTGTTTACTGGGAGTCGTAAAAACAGTGTTACTTTTGCAAGCTCAGAATCGAAAATGAAGCCAATTAAAAGCTTTGAAATCCATTAAAATGCTAGTTCATAAACTTACAAGACGGACTATAAAACACACAGAAACTCATCGGAGCATTAGATCTGAAACCATATTTGTAAGACGATCGTAAAATATTCTTATACATGAGATTTTGTGAAGTCTTAAATACCTTCATTTTGTTCCGGCAGATAAGGTGTAAGTATATATATGTCTTCGTAATTTGAAACTTCGACACACTTAAGAGCGCCTCATAAGCGTAAGCCATCTACATTGTACAAAACGAGACCGGAGTGGCATTTTTTTGTGTAGTTCATGTGCCTCTCAATAATAGGCCTATAGAAATTCAGTAAAATGCCGATTCAGTAGCCACTAATATCATAGTATGTTAGTTAAAACAGGTAAGTTAAGCTATGTCAAAGATTTGTTTTTAAAACATTCATTGTTTGGGTTGACAACTCATTCTTTGAGATCTAATAAAGAAAACAACATACCTATATATGAGAGAGTTCAACGATGTGGTGAAAAATCATTGAATAAGAAATTAATTTCTGCACCGAATTCGGGAATTTTGATTTATCACTGGAAAAACTGTGAGACGTTTTCAAGGTTAACTACCATTCCATACAGGAATGTGTGGTGTTACACTAACAGACGTTTTACGGGAACTAGATTATTTGAACAGTGACCTACCGGAATAAAATTATTTTGTGCCATTGAGTATGATAACTGACGTTATGGGTATTTTTCCTTCGGAAGCCGTAGCAGTCAAACATAGTTAACAGGAGTATTCTTCCATTTAATCCCTTTTTATAAACCGTCAAATATGTATGAGAATACATTTATTAATTACGGTAAGAAAAAAGACTGGATTTATTGAAAGCGAACCGGATTCATTTCAAAGAAAAACAAAAGTTTCATGTTGATAGTAGTACGTGGATTGATACAAACCTTGTAGTAACAGAATCAACTGATTAGCTATTAATTACAATTGTATGCTGTGAATTTTTCCAGGTTCTAAGTAAGTAAATTCAGTACTATTTTCTAGCATATATATTTGATAGTTATTGCTTTTAACTAGGCATTAACTGATAAAAGCCTTGATATTGCGTCCCTTTTTTATAAAACAACAAAACATAGTGGCTTTGTGGTTGGTATTTGTTTACGAAAAGCAATATAAATACATCAAGATGAACAATTTACCTCCGTTTCCCTTTACTTCAACTGAGAAATTATGTTCTTTGACGTGCAAAGTTTGTTTCTGTAGTTCACTAAAGTCTACAGTAATTGGAGTTAATGATTCGTCAAGCCTCATTGACATTGTATTTAGGTTGATAGGGGATTGTTTGGTTCCTCCAGCATTCGGAAATCGCAAAACCCATGTGTGGGGACCTTGAAGTGAAATTAAAGTGAAATAATAATTATACCATTCTTTTCTCCGTAGTCATATGACATCTTCTGCGTTTTCTAAGTTATTAGTCGTCGGTGAACGAAAATCCATAACACACTACATCTTATATCCATTAGTTACATCTTATTAAATACGTTCTAAATGACCTTTGAATATTAAATAGCTAAGTAAAAGACTAAAAAATCTTACAGCCTGTTTCTTTATGAGAAAGATAAGAATAATGGTCGGAGGCTTGAAATCCACAAAGTTTCTTTTCCATTCTTTAGTTTTTCTTACTTGTTTTCCTATTAGTTTTGATATCCAACTTCACAAACCTGTAACCATACCGAAACAACAATTTGTTTATACTAGTTCATGAAAAGATATTGTATTCTGGAGACACTGAATAAACAGACTTAATCATGGATTTCGATACCTCTCATACCAAGCTTTGAGTTAGATTTTTACTTCCTAGACCATTAGCTAGCACTGCAGCGGAGGAATATCCTTACTCGTAAATTTCAAGTTTGGTTGAGTGACCAAACTACCATAAAATACCTTTTCCATTTCTAGGTTCGTTAAAAACAATGAAGAGGCAATAAAATGTTCAGCTTTTTATGTGGAAACGATTTGTTCACACTTTT